TGTTTGGGGAACCAATTCAATCAGTGTGTTTATCATAAAAGGTGCATTTGCTAATTGGGAGCTGCAATCGGTGCAACAGAGACAGGAGAGAAATTGGGATGGGGATGAACAAATTTAGGGTGGCTTTGTTTTTGTTGTTGTTTGTTGGTTTTAGATTTTTTTTAGCTCGCCTTTTTTCCTATACCACTCCAGCTGGCAAATACCTCTTCCTCTTCCTATTTTCCCCACAATAACAACCACGTGAGGTAGGTTGAGCTGAGACAGGGTTTCTAATCCAAAGTCACCCTTGCTGTCTTTCATGCCTAAGGTGGGAATTGGAGTGTCCTGGTTTCTAGACCAAGACCTTCACCACTACATCAAACTGGCTCTTGTTTTGTGCTGATACGAGGAGAGGAATGTGGCCCTTGAACTTTATTTGGTGAAAAAGGGGGGTTTTAATAAGTTTATAAGCTCTCTGTTATGCCTTCACATGAATCTTGAAAGAAAGGACAGGATCACATTTGAGGTGGGAGAAGAGAGTCCCTGATGTGAAAAACAGTTAACGATGTAGTTGGGAACAAGAGCGAGGAGATGGGTTGATTCTCTTTTGGCCAAGGTCTCATACAATGAAGAGCTGTTATCCATGATAAGTGCTTCAATGGGTCCTTCAACTGCAAAATGAGATCTGAGAGTAGTACCATAATTAATAGATTACACTTTGATATACCACTCTTTCATATAACACAAATCTCACTCTTTCTCATTAGTTACTGTAGTTCTAATATTCCCAGATAACCCAAGAACACTTAACTGATGACGATGAAGATGCGCTTGCTTTAAGGGAATGAAACCATCTTGGGAAAACTCATATCTCCATTTTAGGAGCTTCTCGCTAAAGGGAACGCAAGGGAAAAGGGAAAATCTCGTCCGAAAGGTGCCTTTTCAAAAGGCAACTGGACTTTTTTTTGGGGGGGGGGGACAAAGTCCAGTTGTCTTTTGAAAAAGCACCTTTGGGACAACCAGGACTGAGAATCTCCACAAAGGGAAATCTAATTTCTTCCCTAAAAAACAAAACAAAAACGAAACCTGGGGCGACTTGATTGCGGAGTGGTGGTGCTGGGGGGAGAGATATATTTGGGGCATCCAAACGACCCGGCACGAGCAGAATAGAGTAGGCTGGCTAGGCTTAGGAACCAGTCACGGAACTCCAGCTGACACAGAATCAAAGTCCGTTTCTGGTTTCTTTCCTTCGGTTGGGGTGGAGCGCGCGGCCCAGCTCCCGGGGACTTAAACCTCGCAGAGGTCTCCCGGTCGCAGGCGGACACGAACGCCCATTTTAAGAGGAAGGGAAGACAAGAGAGAGAAGCATCATTTGCAAGCTTCAACTAAGGAAGTCTGCCCTCGAGGAGAGGAGGGAAGCTTGCTGAGCGCAGGTTTAAAGACATTTTAAAGGGGAGGGTGGGGGGGGGGTAACGAGGCGTGATAGAGCTCCTCCAGGCACTAGTTCCTGAGCAGACATTCAGCCCTCAAAGAAATTAGAGGTATAAATTAAATACTGCTGGAACTGGTCGCAAAAAGTTACCACCGCCTCACAAATTAAATAAGAGATTGTCCCCTAGTCTGTATAAAGTAAAGCCGTACGATATAGAGGAATCATATTGGCAGAATCCGCCCTTTCGTGTCCATGGTTGCCCCAAGTTGTTGAAATATACCATTAAAAATGCTACCGCGGATATCTCTATCTATCTCTATCTATCTATCTATCTATCTATCTATCTATCTATCTATCTATCTATCTATCTATCTATCTATCTATCTATCTATCTATCTCCCAGATTCTAAAAATAATTATTTGGAAGGAATCTAAGGATGTGCTGGAATTTAGAATACCAATAGGAATGGAATGGAAAGGAAAGTGTAAGTAAAAATCCTGCAATATTTTATGCAATCATCTTAAACTGGATGAGGATAAAACAGTTATCTGGAGAAAGGCTGATGGGGGTGATCTTGATGGTCCCTAGGGTAAGAAATAAAGTGAAATTGTTTGAACAAAACAGTTTATTTCCTCTAAATAAAATAAATCCTATTTTTGTTGTGAGTTATGCAATCAAGAAAGACATGTTTAATCGACGCAATTAAATAGCTATTCAAACAATTAGGAACAAATGTTATTTTTAAAAAAAGGATATGACATTATACATACTTTAGCTTCTAAAGTAATTCGCAGACAGTTCCACCCACATGTATGCACAAATAAATCTCCTTATATCAGTGCATTTTCCTCTAAGACTTTAAGGAGAGATTGCAATTTAGGATTGTGCTGCATGTTTGCCATGGAAATGATATTCCATTTAAAAACATTACATTTTTTCTTCTGGATCTTCCTTAAATGCTTTGTTTCTGCAATTCATGAATTAACTCATAGCTGGTGCTGGGGAACATCTTCAGCTGAAGGGGGAAAAGGGTGGGATAACACTAGGAACTTAGGCATTTTTATTTTATTTTATTTTTGCTTTAGAGATAATTAGCAGTGTCCAAATTGGAGTGTGATATTTATTTAGTATCAAATAACTGGGTGCAACTCAAAGATTTGTATGTTATCAGCAAAATAATACTGTGCTTACTGTACTAGATATTCTAGCTGCAAGAAACTTCACACAGTTCTGATTTCTTCAGCATATCTCTTGATCATCCAATGAGTTTTACAGGAGCGTTTCCCTGTGCCAGGAAACCCCAAATCAGCAGGAGATGTTTTCCTTTACATCTGGTGTTTTCTGAGAAAGAGTAGTTGCAGTCAAGAACCATCGAAGTTGTTGCTGTAGTTTTCCTCTGGTAGACAATTCCAAATGCTATTCCAAGTGTGAACTGTCACACTTCACTTATTGTATATAGCTCCACCCTTTTGAGATTTGCACAGACAAATTACTGGAGGTACTTCTTGAACGGTTCTACCTTACTGTTTATCTCACCCCACCCTCTTATTATTGATGTGCTTGTAGTGTTGTGTTGGCTGAAGAGGTTCTAACTTTCCAAAGTTTGTACTGGTATTTTTTTTAAAGCCTTCATGAATTCTATTATGGGTTTCTTCCTTCTAGGAATTTATTTTCTGCACCTTTCAGCCTGATTTGAATGCATGTGGGAAGGGCATTACTAAAAATCTAAATTCCAGGCTTGAGTTAAACTTTGTGTAGAGCTTGCACCTCTTTGCAAACTTGTGGAAACAATTGTTCCATAAGTCTCAAGGGAGTAGCATTCACTTGAGTGTTCTATAAATTACCACCCTAGTACAAAAGGAAATTCCTGCAGGTGTCCCCTCTTTTAACAAATACATTTAATAAATGTACATTTAAGTACATTTAATAGCCTATGGCCAACCTAAGATCCATTTTTTAAAAAAATATATGAAGTGGCAATATTAAAAAGTGCCTTTATGCATCTAAACATGTCTTTTTATCATGATGTCCCATGTAGAATAGAAGTGCAAGATTTTCTTCTTGATCAAAAGTCATGGATCATGAATTCATTTGCTATGGAGAACAGTTTCCAAACCTACTTTTCTCCCCCAAAATTAAAGCTTAGGTATTTTCTACCTTTTGCATCTAGACATCATAAACATGCACTAGGCACATGCCCTAAGCCAGCCCTTCTTTCTCTCTCTATCCCTCCCTCCGTCCCTTCATCTCTCTCTTTTCTCTCTCCCCCTCCAAAAAGGACACATTCCCCCTGGCTTTAAAATTCAGTTGTGAGAGATGGATGTCAGGCTAACAAGAAAAGCTATGAAACTACGAAGTCAGCCACGGCACAGATGAGCCGAGGGAAGAAGGGCCATACCGTATTGTTTCCATAGAATTAACTGCACATCAGCTAAATTATTACAGCAGGAGTCCCATTTTCAGTTGTCAACATGTGCCAGCAATTTTCAAGGTTTGGAAAGCTGCTTTAAATGTTGAAAGAGGGAAGAAGGATCACCAGCTGGAGGAAAAGCTCTCCGATTTCTACCTGGCTGGCACAGATAACGCAGGAAACCTTGACTCTCAGGCTCAGAGGGTGCCAAGCAGCAAAAGTTTAATATACTCGGAGATAAAAGTCGCAGGTGGCCAAGCGCCTGTTTCGTTTCGCCGAGTCTTTCATTAAATATTTCATGCTGGGATGGGAATTTGGCAGCGCAGTCAGATTTGAGACAAAAGGTTGAGACTTTAGGTGTGTGTGTGTGAACGCCGATAAGGCAGAGAAGTCCATCTTTTGTGCACGCGAGGGAGTGAACAGCGAGGGAGGGGCCTGGATTATTTTCCGCCCGTGTAGCCCCGTCAGGGTCGAAGATCTTCCAAAAGAGGCGCCCCCAATGCCAGATGCCCTGGCAGGAGCAAATACTATAGATCGGCAGCGCCCAGCTTCGACAGAACTCCCGTCTCGTATTTTAGCCTCTTGCCGGCCAATTTCTCCCCTTTTGGAGCTGCAGAACGCAACTGAATAACAGAGTTGGAAGGGACCTTGGAGGTCTTCTAGTCCAACCCCCTCTCCCCCCCCCCGCTCAAGCAGGAGACCCTTATACAGTTCCGGACAAATGGTCGTCCAGTCTCTTGTTGAAGCTTCAGAATGTTTCGGCCTCGGGTCAGAAATAAAAAGCTGGCTTTTAGGTAGGATGCGGGAATGGATGAGTCTTTGCCCTAAAACAACGGCGGGGCTTTTCTTCTTTGCCAGGATGAAGCACACCGGCCACCTTTTTTTTTTCCTCACCTGCCTTTTGGCGAGGGGATCTTCTCTACCCCCCCTCCCCTCCCCTCCCCAGTCGAGGTTGGTGTTGACGAGGAAGTCTCCAGGCCAAGCTTGATCCTGCCCCGTTGTGGCCACTCCGGCTCCTCCTCCTCCGCCCCCCCCCTCCCCGCAGCTCCTCCCCCTCCCTTTCTCAAGTGCACGAGTGCGCGGGGCCGCCCCTTCTGGCTCCCTCCCTCCTTCCCTCCCCCCACCGCCCCCTCCCTCCCCCCACCGCTCCCCGCCCCCTCCGTCCGTCGCGAGAGCAGCCATCCCGCCAGTGGATGCCGTTTTCTCTTCCCCCGCGCGAGCCCACGGGGTGTCACTCCTCCGGGATGACCTCAACTCCGGCCCGACTTTGCCGCCTCACACGCGCCCGACATCCGCGGAGCCTGGCCGCTCGCTGGGACAGCACGATGGGCACCGACCGAGACCCCTGAGAGGCTCCAGCTCGCCTGGAGCTGCGGCTGCCCGCGTCCCCCCGCGGAGGAAGCCAGCGACCGGCTGCAGCCAAGGTAGCTCGGGAAGGAGGGAAGGAGGGAGGGAGGGAAGGAGGGAGCTGTCCCGCGGGCAGCAGCCCGCGGGGGAGAGCGGGGCGGGCGGCTCCTTTGCTCCCGGGGGGCAGCTAAGGGCGGGCTCCGGGGTGGGGAGGCCACCTGACCGCTCCCCGAAGAGAGCGAGTGTTGGGCTTGACTGACCGAGGCGGGACGACGCTGCCGGCCAAAGGAGGGACCGAGCACTTCTCGCCGCCTCCCGACCTCTCCGGGCGCTTCTGTGGCCGCGCGGGCTCTTTCCCCGGCCGAGGCCGAGGAAGCAACAAGAGGGCCACGCCGAGCTGTCCCGCTGGCCACGGCTCCCCGCGGGACAGCCGCGAGTTTCGCAAACGTCTCCCTGTCGGGCGCGCGGGGAGTTCTTTCGAACCGTTCTGGGTTCTCCTGCCTGGTCCCACCGCGTTCGTTGGGAAACCGAACCCACCGTCCGAGGGGCTTTGGACCGGCGCTTGTTTGACTGGCAGGGTTTGCGGGGGCTGGACTGAACTGATTGTGCGGGGCTGAGGGAGGGAGGGGGGAATGAGATTTAGCTTCCCCGCCCCGTCCTCGCCTTTCTTCCGTCGGTGACAGATCTCGCGGGTGGCAGGTAATCGCCGCTTCCCCAACCTGAATTGGGAGCCCAAGCCTTGCGTTCTTGCCCTGCTCGCGCCAACTCGGGACCGATCCCCAGCAGAGAACTTGGGGCGTGCACAGGCTGCGCTCTGAAAAGGCCATTTCTTTGCGGAGGGAAGCAGAAGGAACCTCTTCGGAGGAGGGCTTTCTGGGGAAAGAGAAACGGGTTTCTCTTGTGCGGGACAACATCCCGAGCGCTCCGCTAAGGAAATGTTTCCGATTACTCACGAGGAGGAGGTTTCTCCAACGTGCTAAGCCATTAGATGTTAACCCCTGTTAGTGTAAACCTGTTCTAAGGCCCCAGTTCACAGTGTTAAGTCCTGGGTGACCCAAATCACATTTTGACTTAGCGAGATAGGCGAACCCACGAGGCTCGCTGATCCTTGGTTAATTGAACCTTGCTTCACTTAATACTACCCAACTGCCTGGAGAGTTGCGACACACTGAAGCTCTGCGTTGTCCCACCCTCTCCCCTCCGCCAGACTTAAATGTGACTGGAAAATTTGTGGCTGGGTGTATAGGCAAGGAGAACCACCAATTTCAGCTACGCAGCTTCCTACATTGCTGTGATCTTGGGGATCAGTCGGTCCTCACAGAATCAGGGGACTCAATTTCAAAAGCAGGCTCTTCGGGGCAAGGAAGGTTAAAAAAAAAAAGGGACCCCATGACCCCCTCATAACCACTGACTGGGTCTAAGTCCAAGGGTGCTGGACAAGCTAAGACTCGAGGCCCTTGGAGTCCTCCAGATGGTATTTTCGAGCCACAGAAGTAGAAAGTCTGTCGATCCGCTCCTTTCGATCTCTATCTCCCTGAAAGGGATTTTGTAACTACAATTTCGCCCGTGGGAATCCAAGCCTGCGATTGCGCGAGAGAAAAGCTGAGGGAATGGGTGCGCTTTACCTGGTGCCCGAGGGAGACTTCCGCGCAGGGGGAGGGGGATCATATTTCCCCGACAGCCAGGAGGATGGGGGTGTCAAGCTCCCTCGGTAGATCGAAATGGTTGTCCTACCTTTCTCATTCTCCTGAGAAAGCAGTTATCTGCAAAAAAGGAGGTCCAAGTTGATCCCAGGACAATAAACCTCCACTGGGCAAAAACTGCTGCTGGGTGCCCTTCGGGGTCCTTTCAAAGGTCCCCTCCGCTTTCATTTATTTGTGCGTTTATGCGTCCCCTTATGACAGAGAGCAACGGTGACTCTGAAATTGAGAAGATCCCAAGTCCTTGCCCTGAACTCCTGGGCCAGGTTCCCCCTCACCCCCGTGCCCTGAACCCGAATACAGATTGGGGCTAGGTAGTTTGCGCGAATCCATCCGAGTCTGGTTTCGCAAATGCCAACAACCAGATTCGGAATCTCACTGGGATGCGTGGCAGGCTGACGCTGACTTGGCACAAGTGTGTGTGTGTGTGGGGGGTGATTTAGCAGAGAGGAAGCCCCCTACTACGTTCCCAAAGCGGCCTTTTCAACTGAGGCGGGCTGTCAGTCAAGCGGCTCCCGGACTCGCTGGGCCGCTCTTCCTCTGAGGCTCCTTTTCCGCCCGCGGGCAGGGTTACATCCTCTTTGTCTCACCCTCCCCCCCCCCCGGACGGACGGACGAGCCCCAGCAGTCCGCCACTCACGCCTCAGCGGGCGCGGGGACAGGCCGGGAGGTCTGCGCCCCAACCACGCGGTTCTCCTGGCCGGTCGGAGTCCAGGCGCAAAGGCCGTGGGGGGGGGGGGAGGGTCCGGCGCTCGGGAGCTGACCCGCGCTCTCCTTTCTCTCCACAGGCTCCCTTCCCTCAGCGCCCACCAGGGAGGCAAGGCAGGCAGGCAGGATGTCCCCGGCGGGCTGGGAGGCCCTGGTGGCCCTGGCGGCGGTGGCCTGCCTGGCGGAGGGGGTGCGCGGCGGCTACGGCTTGAACATGTTCGCCGTGCAGACGGCCCCGCAGCCGGATCCCTGCTACGACGAAAACGGGCAGCCGAGGCGCTGCATCCCGGACTTCGTCAACGCCGCCTTCGGCAAGGAGGTCAAGGTGTCGAGCACCTGCGGCCGCCCCCAGGCGCGCTACTGCGTGCTGGCCGAGAAGGGCGAGGAGCGGAGCCGCGCCTGCCACTCGTGCGACGCCGCCGACCCCAAGCGCGCCCACCCGGCCTCCTACCTGACCGACCTCAACAACCCGCACAACCTGACCTGCTGGCAGTCGGAGAGCTTCGTGCAGCACCCGCTCAACGTGACGCTGGCGCTGGCGCTGGGCAAGAAGTTCGAGGTGACCTACGTCAGCCTGCAGTTCTGCTCGCCCCGGCCGGAGTCCATGGCCATCGCCAAGTCCATGGACGGCGGCAAGAGTTGGGTGCCCTTCCAGTTCTACTCCACCCAGTGCCGCAAGATGTACAACAAGCCCAACCGCGCCGCCATCACCAAGCAGAACGAGCAGGAGGCCATCTGCACCGACTCGCACACCGACATGCGGCCCCTGAGCGGCGGGCTCATCGCCTTCAGCACCCTCGACGGCCGGCCCTCGGCCCACGACTTCGACAACTCGCCCGTCCTGCAGGACTGGGTCACGGCCACCGACATCAAGGTGGTCTTCAGCCGCCTCCACACCTTCGGCGACGAGAACGAGGACGACTCCGAGCTGGCCCGCGACTCCTACTACTACGCCGTCTCCGACCTGCAGGTGGGCGGCCGCTGCAAGTGCAACGGGCACGCCTCCCGCTGCGTCCGCGACCGCGACGACCACCTGGTCTGCGACTGCAAGCACAACACGGCCGGGCCCGAGTGCGACCGCTGCAAGCCTTTCCACTACGACAGGCCTTGGCAGAGGGCCACCGCTCGCGAAGCCAACGAGTGCGTCGGTGAGTTACACGCGGCCCGGGCGCCTCGTGCGGCCCGGCGGGTCCCGGACCTCGCGCGCGCACCGGTCCGCCTTTGCTGGCCGAGCGCATCTTCTGCACCTGGGAGGGAAGGAGGGAGGGAGGGGATTTCACCCGACCGCCCGCTCTGTCGACGGGACCCCTCGGCTGGCGATTTCAGGGAAGTCCCGGCCAGTTTGCAGGCTTGGCGTGAGGCCCTCGGCGAAGGTCAGGGGTGGGGTTGTACTGAAGGGCTGCAGTCCCCGTCTCAGCTTTGATTTAGGCTGGGAGTGGGGGGTGCGGTGGGGGTGGGGTCGTGTTTGCACGCACTTTCCATTTCTTTCTTTTGTTTAGAGCAGTGTTTCTCAACCTTGACAATTTTAAGGCATGTGGACTTCAACTTCCAGAATTCCACAGCCAGCATTGCTGGCTGTGGAATTCTGGGAGTTGAAGTCCACATGCCTTAAAATTGTCAAGGTTGAGAAACACTGGTTTAGAGCTATGTTTTACGTTTGGAATTATAATCCTTACAATCGAGGTTTGGGTTAGTTAGTTAAGCGCAACTAAATCTGTAGTCCTGAGCTGCAGGTCTCCCGATCTGAACGGGATCCTTCGAAGCAACTCCTGCCCAGGGCTAAGCTTGGCAGAGTCCCGCGTGGGCCTTCCGTGCCCTGTTAGGGCTGCTGCTGTGTCGCTAGAAAGTGGAACGCGCTTGGCACGTGCCCGGAGAGACTCCCCAGCCTCGGGGGCAGGTCTCCCATAAAGGGGCCCGGTTTTAAGGCGTTCGCCTTTTCGCTGCCCCAGATTCTGCAGGGATTCCCCCCCCCCCGGACGGGAAAGCTGACCTCTGAGTCCTCCAAACACAAGCAAGTTGGCAAAACTTCCCCAAGAGGTAGGCCGGGTTAGAGGGCAGAAACCAATTAAAATTAGCAAGGGAGGATTTGTGGGTGTAATTTAACAGGGGGGAGGCGAGGAGAGAGAGACACATTTACAGATGACTCCCCCCCCCCCCAAAAAGCCGACCAGTCTTTTCCCCGCTTCCCTGGAGGCTGAGCGACCCGGCAAAGTAGGCAGAGCTTACTTCGATCGACCCTCTTTTCCGGCTGCAAAATAGGAATTGGATTTGAATCGGAGGGCGCAGCGGAGCAGAAACCGCTCGCCGGCAAGGGCGGTCTAATAATGCCTCAAATCCCATCTTTTTTTTTTTTCTTTTTTCTTTTGGACGCGGAGTAGAGGAGATTGTGGAAGCTAATTCCGCGCGGTAGTATTTAAGGGAGGGGCTTTGTTCTTGAGGGAACCTGGAGTGTGTGGCACTCTGCCCGCAGATGCTGCTTGCGGTGCTGGTGGTTTGAATCAGGGAAATTAAAAAATACACACACACTATTGATCTTGGGGGTCCTTGGTCTTCGCTAAGGGCAACTGGTAACTGACGAGAGAGAAGGACAGATCTGAGGAGCTTTCAGGGAGAGTCCAGAACCGGTCAGGATCAAAGCAACTAAGAATTATCCAATCCGTGGGTGTTAACCTAGTTGGGTAATGAAACGTTTGCAAGCCAACAGCTAAGCTCAGAGAACACCAAGGGCTCCCTAATTGTCCTGTTTGCCAGCAGATACGTAGTGGGAATGGGGAATATTTAAACTTGTGGTGTTACTTCACTTTAAAATCTACACAAGCGTTAGAAAGAGGAAATAAAACACCCCAGCTGCTGCTTATTTTGAAAAATTGTGCTGGTTTACTTCTTCACTTTCTGTCAGTGTCTAACCTGTGTGAATGTAGAAGATACTTTTATTGCAGTCTGCACAGTACAGTATAGTCTGTACGTATAGTCTGTATTTTTTTAAAAGTCATATATTACAACAGCATTTGCTTCCAAACTGTGAATAAAAATGTTTGTGGAATACCCAAATAACTCTGGTTGGAAGGACACGTTGGGAATTTCCTAGCAAATGTCTAAAACGTTGCAACTTATTTACTATCCAGCTGAAAGTTTTACTGAAATCGAGGTTGCCTTTTCTGAAAATAAGTGATAATGCAATCTTAAGGTTATTATTAAGAATTAAGTGCTGTTACTGCCGTAATACAGTATAGGCATGGACACTTGGGATTATAAATTAAAGAAGTACAATTCAGTCAAGAGGTTATCACTAAAATATGTGTCAAACTAATAAATGTGCTTCTCTCTCTCTTCCTAGACTAGTTTTTTTAACACCATCATTAAAAATACCAGTTTTCTCCTCTGTTTTGTATTGTAAAGATCACAGAAGGGGAGAATAATCATAATTTGAACCAAATTATTCAATTCTTTCAATTTTCAGTCCTAAGAAAATTCTAAAGTCCTAAATTCTAAATCTAGATGCATAGGAGTTGTTGGGTCTCTCTCTCTCCCTCTTCCCCCCCCCCTCTCTCTCTCACACACACACACACTCATTCATAGCTGTACATTTTCTGGACATCACATGTTCATGAGAGAGAGAAAAGAAGGGCCATTTCTCTGCTAAGGTGGTTTTGATGTGTGAGGGCGCAGTGGGGAAAGACAGCCTGTTGTGGCTGCCTGTCTCTAATGAGTTATTTGCCATTGGAATCTGTTTGCTGCCCTTGAATCTATTGAATTCTAACTAACCCTGTCCTGATTGTGTAGACAGGGTTTATCTGCCTCCTCCATTGCAGCACAACCAAGGCAGAATGCTAATTGTGTGTCTAGATTGTCACAATCCTTTTTGCTTTCTTGAATTGGAATAATCATAGGGATATCTGACTTTCCTGAACCTTTTTTTCCTCCATTCTTTCCCTATTTTTCAGGGACAGTGACAGTAACAGCTGCAATAAATCCAAGTAAAGGTCCTTTTAATCCAGATTTCTAACCAGGACATGAGCGTAGTAGCAATTCCTTTCTTAAATGTTGACTAGTAAGGTAGTAGTACTAGTTGTGGGACAGAGATTGAATTCATGCTTAGGTTTCAGCTATGGAAGTTCAGTTGAATCAACCATTGTCTCTTAGCCATCTATCTCACAGGGTTTTCATTCTGGAAGTAAACAGGAGGAAAAGTGCAATACATAGTCAATGTAATGAGCTCCTAGATGGAATGTCAGAGTTAGGGTTAGGGTTACCACAGATAGTTTTACTCCATAGACAAACTTTCAGGGTGGTGATAATTACTTTATTTGTAGTACAGTGAATTCCATAGCTTAATTATATGTTATGTGAAAGAAACATACACGTACACAAACATATACACCGTATTCATTTTTCTTCCACTTGGAACAGATAAACTGATAGCCAGAAAGAAATCTAGGTGACAATGTGCTATGCTCCCTGTTTAATAGTGTTGTGTATGAACTGGAATTTGGGAAAAGTTAGTATCCAGACTTATTATATCCCCTTTTAGAATGGTATAGGGCCTTTTTATGTTAAAGTCCCATCCACTGGTCTTTGCACAAAACCAGACTGACACAAAATCTGTGGTCCGTGTTGCTAATTTCTATCCTGCCAAATGACATTGTCCTGATCTGTAAGATGTCATTCATTTGCAGATAAGGCTTGTCTCTTCTGGATTGGCAGTTCTCCCCTTTCAGCACCTCATCAGCCAGGGAAGAAGGCATTCAGCACCGGAGTACTGTACTGTGAGCAGAGCAAGGTTGACTTCAGAGCTCTACCTGGGATCTTCTAGTCTAGGCAGATTTGACAGCCCTACATCCTGCATAGATATCCTTCAAGTTAAAATGAAGTGAAGTAAGCTATCATACAGGAAAACATTTCTGCAGAGAGTTTCTCAAATCGACTAGCTTCTAGACCAGTGGTTCTCAACCTATGGGTCATGACCCCATTTGGGGCCGATCGACCATTTTTCGGGGGTCGCCAAAGGCGGCGATCCGCCATTTTCTCCCCTCCAGGGGCGCCGCTGCGCATGTGCGCCGCGCATGGGGCTGCCGCCGCGCATGGGGCCGCCGCCGCGCATGGGGCCGCCGCCGCGCATGCGCATAATGTTTGTGTGACAGGGGTCGCCGTCACACAAACGTTGAGAACCGCTGTTCTAGACAGTCCTGTCTTCTTTTTTTTTTTTTTGAAGGGGCATATGATTGAATCTGACACTTATAAGGAAACTGGAACATATGTGTTAAAACTTCAGTTTTTATGTGTGAGTTTAGCATTCCCCATTATTTTCTGGAAACTGTCACAAAGCAAAGTAAGGCCACTGCAGTCTGTATGTTCAGGTTACGCTAACATGGAATTGCATAAATGCACCCCCTTTTCTTCCCCAAATAAAACAGTGGTAGTGTGCATTCCTCTCTTCTGTTTTGTAAGAAACCTACAGAGAAGTTGGTTTCAAAAGTATCTCACTGTGTGTTGTGTGGGTGGGTAACATGCCCATGTTACCCAAAATGCACCTTTCATCACACTGACATTGCCCCCTCCCCCAGGTAATAAATGGAAAAGTATCACAAATTATATATCTTGAAGCTGTGATGTGAAAGTGTCACCTTAAGGGTGAAAAGGATACTTTTACTCTTCACAATATTTTACGCCCTTTTCATTTATGGGCCAGGGATGAGATGAAGACCACACTATGTGATCAACTGTAGAGATGGAGGTCACCAGGGCATAGTAGTGACACCATAAACTTCAGAATAAGGACAGGATAGTCTGAAACATATCTCTTGGATATCCTTAAAAATTGCCTGGAAGGTATTGTCAATCTGTCATCTGTCATCAGATGACAGAAACAATAATAATGAAATATTTATGGCAGTGAAAAAAATGGGCTTCACTATGTTGAAAGTACAGCTGGGTGAACTAAAGGAAGCTCTTCACTGAATTTTCATCTGATACTTCAGAAAAATATTGTTCAAGCCCGAAAATAGGTAAATTAAGTCAGACTAGAATGGTGCTGTCACTTTGCATAAGTCTTGCTCTAGATTTAGGGTAAGGAAATAAAGTTCATAGCTTAAGCACATATTATTTTTACTGACTTAGTTTAGATTCTGATACATTTTTGATATTACTT